GGGGTTCAAAATTAAAGATATTAACAATAAAGCATGTGCTTATTTTTAAGATTCATGCAGTTGCAGGTCTGCCAAATTTTCATTGGACATTAGCTGAAAAAATACGGTAATTGCACGAGGCCGTGCTCTGGAACAAACTAGTTAGTATAGCAGAATTTTCAGGGAGTCACACGGACTCCTGCACATATGTCAAATCAGGGAGTCCGACAGTAAATCAGGGAGTATTTGACTCTGGACTCCCGTTAATTTTGCACCCTGCATGTACATAATATACGTACTGAACCAAGAACGCACGCCGCACTCGAGATTTCATCGATTTTTTTTCACAAATGACCCGGTGACCTGTAACGTCACACAACCCCTTGGCTAACTACGAACTGTCTTAATATGATTGTACTACTGACTGTACATTGCCAATGGCAATATCAATAACTAGTTATGAATCAAATCACAAATGCTACACTGCCTATAATATAAATCAAGAGTAGATAATAACACAAGAGTAACACACCCGATTCCCGCATTTTTAACCGATTTTTCTCATCAAAATTTGCCACCAATAAAGAAGTAAGTGTATACGTTCCTCAGCTTATTATGACCACTAATCACTCACCTTCGTGGTACTGATATTCGTTTACATATATATATAAATATATATATTTGCTAGCGTATTGCTGTAAATCGTAATCTTGCACGAGCTGAATTCGCACAATTTACCGTTATTGTGTAGACCTGTTCAGCCATAATTTGAAGCTATAGTGGCGCCAATATTTAGCAACGGACTGTTTCCAAATCATTCGTGCCCCGATAGGGGTTTAATGTACTTGATTACCTGCGCGTGCGTAATGTGATACTTACTGCAAACTACTACAGAGAATATTGTTATTATTGTATTATTACTTATGTAAGATAGTGCTAAGAATAAAATCACGTTTTATACGATAAATCGCGGTTCCTCACGAAATCAAAATTCGAAATTTAGATTGTCTCTCAACCCTATCGGGGCACGAATGATTTGGAAACAGTCCGTTGCTAAATATTGGCGCCACTATAGCTTCAAATTATGGCTGAACAGGTCTACACAATAGCGGTAAATTGTGCGAATTCAGCTCGTGCAAGATTACGATTTACAGCAATACGCTAGCAAATATATGTAAACGAATATCAGTACCACAAAGGTGAGTGATTAGGCCATCCTTAAAAAATTCTATGTTTGCTGTCCCCCAACCCATAATTTTTTTAGTGGGTAGGTAGGTAAGGTCATTTTTTGTGTGAGGCATAATAGTTATTTTAAGTCTGTCCTCATGTTTGCCACACATGCTTTGTATTTCAGTCTTAACTATGAAAAATGCAAAAAAAAATATGGAACCCAAAATGTCAAAAAAAACTTTTGGGTCACGGCTATTTTGGTGGGTTGGTCGGAGGACAGCAAACCTATAATTTGTTAAGGATGGCCTTAGTGGTCATAATAAGCTGAGGAACGTATACACTTGCTTCTTTATTGGTGGCAAATTTTGATGAGAAAAATCGGTTAAAAATGCGAGAATCGGGTGTGTTACTCTTTTGTTATTATCTACTCTTGATATAAATGTACTATTGACTGTACATTGCCAATGGCAATATCAACTAGAAAGAAGGCACTCATGGAGTCTGAATCGTCCGCATACGCGAATACTACACCTGTGATATTTTGTAGGCTGAGGTTGCTACTTGTACTGGATGAAGATAACCTTGGTTTGTTTTTTGTACTGAACCGATCGACTATCTGCCTGTGCTTTTTGTTTTTAGATATTTACGTGCATGTACGTATGATATTCATGGTGGGATGTCATTTATTTATGGGTTTCTTTTAGCTCCCAGGATTTGTTAATTCTAATAGAACAGAAATGCACACTCAGACATACATGTAACTTACAAAGCAGATATATTGATTCATGTTTAATGCACATTTAACTACATTTATATTGTACAAGCAATTAAAACAATGAAAATAGGGTAATTGTGTACGTGTATATTTGTATGATATCTGCAAATGTGCTACGAACTGGTTTCTTCTACAGCGTAGTGAACACACTGCCACACACAACACGCCTGGAAATACTGCCTGGAACACCCGCCCCGCGTTAGCAATGGTACAGTCCTTCCGCTATGACCCAGTGTTGGAAATATACTTAATGACAATATACTTGATTATTATATGATAATAAGGTCAAGGTAACTCAGAATCAATAGGATTCCAGCACTCCATAAGATGCACATGTGGACCAAGATTGATGTGCCTACCTCTTACGGTTGCAAAGATATCGAGTGGACAGACACACACACATGTACATATGTTCATGCACACATGTACACACACGGACATATATTCAGGGGTGGCAGACTTTGATGACATTCGAGTCCTTCGCCACCCCCGTGCTTCATCTGTCAAATCATGTATTGTGACCTGTCATTCTAATATCTTCCGTTGTACACTGTATGTCAGGGTTCTCCAAGAGCACTTATAGCCTGGCGGCCCGCCAGGCTACTGTCGAGCCCCGCCATCCTAAAATGCACCCGCCGCTATAAATATCATAGCCCCCGGACCCCCCTAGAATGCAAACCGCCTTCGGCGATTTGCAACTAGGACCGTAAAGGCAGCAGCCCCATGCTATAATGAAAAAGCTTGAAAAACCCTGTATGTATGTCTTATGCACAAATAAACATCTTTCAATCTTAAACACACACACACCGCCGCATACATACAAGCGAGCACGAAAACAATATCCTGCGCTGCACCACAGGCACTTGGAACTGCTCAATAAAAATAAAAAAAGGTGAATAATAAACACAAAATGTATTTACTACTAAAGTCTTACTGTTTCTCTACTCTATTTTGCCTATTATTGCCGATAATTACCTGTAAATGTCGGTCAAATGCTCACCTGCAACACACAAGTACACCACACGCACGCCCTGTGCACAAACAACAAGAAGAGAGTGTTCTCTTCTTATTGTTGTCAATGTTAAGAACAAGAAGAAGAGTTCTTGTTTGTGCACAGGGCATGCGTGCGTGTTGCAGATGAGCATTTGACCAGCATTTACAGGTAATTATCAGCAATAATAGGCAAAATAGAGTAGAGAAACATTAAGACTTTGATAGTAAATACATTTAGTCTTTATTTACCTTTTTTAAATTTTTTATTGAGACGTTCCAAGTGGCCTGCATGTGTGCTGCACTACCTCAGTACCATGTGCGAGAATAATAGACTGAGTTGGCCGTGGCCTACGGCGACGGTGTCAGGACGAGGAGCCGCTGGCTATGCGTCGCGGAGGTACTGGACATCGCATCATCACACCAGTGATCTTGCGACACGTACACGCATGACTTGCGCACGGGACGCTCTGCTGGCATTGCCGGAGTGATGTCGTGTGTGCGTGAGTGCGATGCCGTCCGTAGTCGAAGAGTGGCTGTGCTGTGTGGCACAGCAGCCCTTGGCAGGACTAAGTTTCAAGAAGAGTATAACTCACTATAAGAGCGAAGCGCTTCGCTCTTAATATAGTCTTAAAGTTATACTCTTCTTGAAACTTGAGCCTCCAAGGGCCTGTGGTGTGTGAGAGAGAGAGAGAGAGAGAGAGAGAGAGAGAGGAGAGCAGATGAGAGGACAGAGAGAGAGGAGAGAGGGTGAGACGAGAGAGAGAGGAGAGAGAGAGAGAAGATAGAGATGATGAGAGAGAGAGGAGAGAGAGAGAGAGAGAGAGAGAGAGAAGAGAGAGAGAGAGAGAGAGAGGTGTATGTGTGTGTGTGCGAGAGAGAGATTGTCCCGTTGCGCAACCATGCGTGTACGCGAGTCGCGCGATCAGCCGATCACTGCGTGAGTGGATGTCCGGATGCGTAGCCTGGAGGGCCCAAGGATAGAGAACATGTATCCCAATAAAACCAATGTGCCTAACCCTAACCCTAACCCTAATTCTAACCCTAATTCTAACCCTAACCATAACCCTAACCTATTATATTGATATAATATTATATTTATATTGATGTAAATGCCATTGGTTTTATTGGGATACATGTTCTCTATCCTTGAACCGCCTGGAGGCTAGGCGACCGGTTCCGGACGCGTAGCCACTGCGTAACTCGTTATGAATAAAATCACAAGTCAAATGGTACACAGCCTACACTACATAGACCAATATATTGTGCCCTAAAAAATTTTTTATTCTGATGTTATCCTAACCTATTATATTGATGTAATATTATATTTATATTGATGTAAATTACATTGGTTTTATTGGGACCCATGTTCTCTATCATTGAACCACATTTGGCCGGGCACAATTTATTGGTCTATACACTACGCAGCATAACCTAGTAGTAGTACTAGTACTGTAATATTTGTTTTAGGCCATGATGATTGAAGGCTATACTGTACCCTATTGCAAAAACATTTTTAACAATACAAATTCTGTATCGCAGAGAGGAAAAGCATCTACGTATGACGACACTTTAGAACAAATCGCCAGAACTTTGCTTTGGTGCGAGGTGGGGAAAGCGAATTGTCACGTGTTTTCCGACGTCAGACCGCATCACGCATATAAATCAAGTGACAGAATGCAGTCCCGTATGAATGAACAAGACTAGTAATATCTCAACAGAAACAAACGTCAATGATCAACTATTCATATAGAAAATTTATTTAACAGTAAAATCACGTCATATCTCTGCTAGTATAAAATGATTACATGTTTTTTTACTTCGCGGATAAATCTTTCGAACTAATATGACGTTATCCGGTCGATGATGCTTCCGGAGTAATAGCGAACTTCCGGCTGCATGAAAACAAACTCTGAAATTTGCTTTAATTTTAGGGAATACACGGCTGGTACTTGCCCTAAGTCGCCATAAAAGGTAGGAATGCGTAGTTAATATGCCGTGCATTTTGTATTGAGCTGTATATGTAAGCGTAGTCAAGAACTGGTGATTTTGCCGACCCAAGCCATCTCACATGCTGTTTCCTGTTTCATTGACATTGTGGAAAATGGCGACTGAACAAAATCCGGATCCGTTTGTATATTGTTAGGAATATGTCGCCGTGCTCATGTAATTTCGCCGACTTGTTCGATATGAAACAGCAGATTCCTGACAAATCGTACGACCTGTCTCTAGTTTATATGTTCTTTGGCTGGTAGAGTACTGCATCTACTAAAGCTATGTCTTTTCTTTGTACGCAATTATTCAATTTCAAATGTGTTCAGTTTTGTGTTCTCGTACGCGTCAACCAAACCGGAAATGAAGCATTCTTCAAATGTTTTCGCGAAATTATGCTTAACGCATATTTAGTGAATATTCAGCCGTACGTTTAGTGTCAAATCTCTTTGTAATCTAACATAATTTAGGAGAGCCGTGGTAGTCCACTACACACTGTCACTAGTTAGCGTGTCCACCGTTCTCATTGAACTTTTTGTGAAGTACCCGGCCTATGGGCTGTATCAGTGTATGGCCTATGGACGTGGATGTTCGTCCAAGCATCGGACACCTGTTCGTATGCACTATTCGTCTGAGCAGTTGTTGCGCATGCGCTGTTCATATTGTATTACATAAATGTAATATAATGCTAGTCTAGGAAGGAGCATACTACCGAACCACGCCTAATCTCTAACCCTACCACTAATCCTACACCAAACCCTAACCCTAACACTAACTATAAACCGACTCGATTTGCTTATATTATATACGCGAGTGATAGGACCAAACACTATCTATGGTGTATAACCACATACGCAACGCATCAGGGGCTAATAATGACAAATTTGTCATTATTAGTTCCTGAACGCATGTATGCAGGGGCGTCACAGCCGTAGGGCTGCCGTAGCAAAACGCTACGGGCCCCCAGCCTAAAGGGCAAAAAATCATAAATCTAAAGGGTAAATAGCATTTTAGAGCGTCTAGATTTAAAAATTGTTTGGGGGGAGACCCCCCAGACCTCCCCTTCACACTTCCTACCTCCGGCACTCGTGCCGTGCGCCTGCTACATGAACAGCGCATGTGCAACAACTGCTCGGACGAATAGCGCATACGAACAAGTGTCCGATGCTCGGACGAATATCCACGTCGTTGGCCTATACAGTAGACTATAGTATACATACTATAGTATTCCATAATTTTATTTAAAGTTATACTACCAGTAGGCAGTACCACTACTAGACTGACTAGTCACTAGTACTAACTAATAGTAATACTAGTTACTAGTATAATAAGTATTACCAATGGTAGGGACAGTGATTTTCCGCGATTGTGGAAAACGGACGGAAAAGATGTTTTCAAACGAAAAAACGTAATTTGAACATATTACAACATGGAAATTTCAATAAAATCACACAAAAACAGTTGACAATAGCATTGGTAATGATATGGTTTACATTCAGACAAGTTTCAGAGTGAAATGACTTACAATTACGACTTTTGGTAGCCCTGTGTTTCGGTGCCGGTTCCGGTTTCAAAGGTTGTACCAAATACTTTTTTTTCATGCAAATATTTGTAAACGGAATTTTGCATTTTTGGTGTGTACAATCTATGGCAAAACGGAATTTCCATTTTTTCTTTACTTTGAAACGGAATTCATGATTTTGCCAAACGGAAAAGGCAATTTTTTGAAACGGAAAATCACTTTCCCTACAATGGTAATAACATACTAGTACTCTATACACAATCCTAGTTTGGGACCCCAGCCCTCATTTTCGCAAATGTGCTAGACTAATCCAGGTTGCTAAACTAAGTTTGAGCTATTGCATATATATATTCAGTTCAGTTGCTTTCCAGTACTTCACGAGTACTAGCTGTATTATGTGACAGGTGTAGGTGTAGGTTCAGGACATGCCTGTGGAAAGGCAATATATTTTACTTGAAATTAAAACCTACCTACCACAGGGCTCTCAAGGGGTAGCTTTAAAAATGAATGAGATTTATTTTGAATCAGAAAATTTAAGGCCTTAGCTTTCGTGCCCCTCCCCCGGTAGGAAAATTTTGTGGTGCGCTACTAGTAATAAATGTCGAGATTCCTGTGCCTTGTGTCCCGCGTTTTTTGGCAAAGTTCAGCTAGACCCACTCCACGCAACAAAGAAAAACTGGATTATTGCAATTGCATGAGATTTTCGGGGACTATCAGAAATGTGCATGCAAGCGTGAGATTGTGCTGAAGTGAGTCTCACGCTTAATGCATGAGGCTTGTGAGCCCTGCAACCACATTCTCTAAAAAAATTAATCTCCTAATTTGAGATGTAACAATTTACTAAATAAGTGTTACACCTCAAATTAGGGGATAATTTAGTGTAGCAGCAGTGCCAAAATATATGCAGTATCGTGGGATGGATGTCCCCTTAACAGTTAAAACATTAAGCTCTCTCAGTGATTGGAGTTGTACCCTTACTGCTTATTATTATCACCAAGCATTACTTGGTGAACTACCAAGAAACTCCCATTGCATTACAATGCTTTTTATTTTCCATGTCAAACACACAGGACCTCAGACCAATCTGAGTCACAACTGTACTCACCAGTATGTCATTGGTGGATCTTGGCAAGAGGCTGTTGGATGCATCCAGGAGAGGTGACACAGAGGAAGTTAGAGTACTCATGACTAATGGAGCCCCTTTCACAACTGACTGGGTATGTTAGTTAGTTCAGGGGGACAAATACTTTAAAATTTGAGAGTATATTGTGATACCTATTGCATAAAAATAGTTTATGCATGATTATTTATATCATCAGACATTCATTTATTATTAGATATCACCGAGTTTTAATATAATGGATGTTGTGTACTGCCGAGAAATCATAACTTTGCTCTAACTCTGTAGCCCTTCGCTACGCCTCAGAATAGTATCTACATGGATAGAGCTACTTACAGGGATGAGAATTGTCCGCCGATCGGCGGAATTCCGTCGATTTGACAGCCGCGTGAATCGTGCAAATTCGGTGGTAAAAAAGGAAAAGAAAAAGGGGAAAAAAGGAGAATATATATTTTTTTTTGGGGGGGGTGGTGATGACTATTTCTGTTTCAAATGGCTATTCCAATCAATCCAATATAATATCATTAATATTTGTTTTGACTTCAGCACCAACCAATTCTGCCCGTTGTATGTTTAATTTGTTAAACTGCTCGACAGGTAAACATATAAGTGTACTGCCTGTGAACTTTTAACATGGTTTGAGTAAATTTTTTATCACATGACTTTTATATTT